TATATATATATATATATATATATATATATATATATATATATATATATATATATATATATATATATATATATATAAAACAAAAGAAAGTGAACACCAGGAAGAATTAAAAACTATAAAAGTTTTAATAAGTTAGAGTCCAAGCTTTCACCAGCCACTGCTGGCATCATCAGGGATCTATATAGGTTAATGGGAGCGCCTATTTATGGTCAAACTACTTTTGCACCCAACCCATGGATGTTATCATGGGATTCCGTCAGCCAATCGGCGTTCTGATACTCTTTTTGTTTTACTAACCAACTTGCCTGCGCTGTTCCTATCCTCACACAACTTGCCACTCTTTCCCGTACTTCCCGTCTCCCCCCTTTTTCTTCCTGCTGAGGCCACTTCATTTGTCTGCAAGGCGGCTGCACGAGAGCGTGTGACTGCTCCTAAAATGGGGCAGCATTGCTCTCCCTCCCCTCCTCTTCCCATGGGAGGCGCCGTATTTGTTCGCAGGGCGGCCATCCGGGAGCGTGTGATTGTCCCTGAAACACAACAGGGCCGTTCACCTCCCCCTCTTCGTGCTTCCAGGCACGCCGGGGGTTTTGGGGATTCCGGAAGACGTGCTGACAGTTTCAACTCGTTTTTCCACACCGTTGCTTCCTTCTGTTGGATTATCATCCGGGAGCGAGTGACTGCTCCCAGGGCAAACCCCAGAAGATGCATAGACGATCTCAATTCATCCGGTGGTGCCACAGGGATACTCAAAGGTGTGGGACCGACGGGGGTGGCGGGGGGTAAAGAAAAACGATCCTCCTGGTGGCAGCTGTGCCGTACGTTGGCATGCATTCGCAGTAGGTTCTTCCCTTCCCCACATTCAGACGGGACGCTCAATCTGCTCGAGGCCGGAGCGTTGCTGTCAATGGGTTCTTCTGTCCGTCGGGGGCACTGGTGCTCCATCCTGGGCAAGTGCCCAAGCTGGCAAACGCCTGCTTCACCGTTGTTCAGGGGGTGTTGGGGAGGGGAGTTTCCCCCCTCCTCCCACCTCTTCCGAGGTCTATGGATACGGGTATTCCATGCCCTTAATGCCAGATGTGCTTGGCATCCTCCGGGGTTTGCCCTGGGAGCAGTCACTCGCTCCCGGATGATAATCCAACAGAAGGAAGCAATGGTGTGGAAAAACGAGTTGAAACTGTCAGCACGTCTTCCGTGGGTCGGGTGCAAAAGTAGTTTGACCATAAATAGGCGCTCCCATTAACCTATATAGATCCCTGATGATGCCAGCAGTGGCTGGTGAAAGCTTGGACTCTAACTTATTAAAACTTTTATAGTTTTTAATTCTTCCTGGTGTTCACTTTCTTTTGTTTTTACCATGAATGTACCCAGGAATCATTCATCTGTTTTTAATATATATATATATGTTTTCTGAGGTTTTCGCGGGTGTTTGTATGTACGTCTTTAGTTATTCGGGTTTTCTCCCACGTAGAATTAGAAGTGTCTTGGCGACGTTTTGACGAAGTCACATTCGTCATCTTCAGGCTGGTGTCTTCAGCTTCGTGCTTCTGGGAGTAGTGTGTGTGATCGCAGCTGTTTCTTCCTTTTAACTGCCAGTGGGGTTTGAGCTGATTGGGTGGGAGCGTGGCTGTGTTCTGATTGGGTGGAGGTGTGTTCTGATTGGTTAAGGAGCTTGGCTGTGCTCTGATTGGATGGGGCGTTGGCTGTGTTCTGATTGGATGGGGGAGTGTTCTGTTTGGGTGGGGGCTTTGTTGTGCTCAGGTTAGTCTGAGTTGCAGGGGGATTTGAGATGGTGAGCTTCATTGCTGTTGTTTGGCTTCGTGTTCGTGGTCGTGCCACATCTTTATGGTGGGTGTCAGTTTGCTTCATGTATGGATTGGAGGGGTTTAAAGTGGCTAATGATGCAGC